TGGCGAATGTATGTCATTTTTTGTCGTTTTATAATTGCAATAAGCTCTAAAACCATATTTTGTTTTGAAACTGAAGACCAGTGGTGGTGTAACTTTTAGCTTCGATTCAGCCAGTCTCGAAAACTTACGTCAGCATAACGTACCTGCAATTCAGGCCGGAAACAATAGCGATGGCTTATCGCCTTCTTGTTTTCGTCTCTACGGAAGAAGCGCCTTCATCAGATGAGCTAGAATGGATAAAATCGTGTGCCAACGCCGAGGAAGAGTTACCGAAACGAATCGCTCTGGAAGTTGGAGCACATCGCCTTCGACGAGGTGAGAAAAGTCTTCGACGAGGTGGGAAAACCAGCTTCGTCGGAGTCGCCTTTTTGATGCTGGTCATAGCCTCTCGTGCAGTGCTACAACAATGGTTTTATATCAACAGAAGCCAAGTTATTGCCATCATACGCCCGATTTTGTAGGCAATACGTGTAAAAAACAAAGAAATATTTCTTCGCATAGTTTTTTTGAATATGGGCTCTTGATTTCAGCAGTCATTGCTGTGTATTTGCAGGAAGCGATGATGATTTGGTAGCTGCTTTGGCATCATTCCTACAAGATGATGCTCTGAGCATTCGAGAAGAGGTTGGTCTGCCAACTGTAAGCTCGAAAGTACCTTCGATTTTCTCATTACCCTGACGATCCTCTATGTAATTTACATGGACACGCTAGGGTGGCATCCCTTTCAGCATTCTGCATGTCCATATTCGTCCTAATACTTCTAGTTATTTTCGAGATCTACAGCCCTTTCAGGCGTCATCGTTATTATCGAAACACATCTTGAAGAGCAACATATTGCTCAATCCTGGGGTTTGCTACCGCCTAATCATGGAGAATATTCCCCATCTGGAAAGCGAAGCCAAGGAACTAGAGCGAAACGTAAGATTTTCAAATCTGGTCTTTTCCTAACTTCCTTATATAAGCTGTGCTGAAAGCTTTTCCTTACAACGTTCATTTTCAATTGAGTTTATGCCACAGACCAGCCGGCTGGCGCGTCCCTTCTTCTGTGGCCCGGCTTGGCGCTAGAATACCCGCCTAAAGCCTTGCATATGTCTGACCTCTTTGCACGGTCAATGCTCCTAAGCTAAACACACCACACCCTTTAGTTTCAGCTCATATCATTTGTATGGTCGCGGTAAAGAGCACAGAAGGGAGATATACCAGGCCATAGCAGTGCTTTTCAACACAACGAAAGAAGAGTGCCCAGCTAAGCCAAACCCACCCGGCGAAGTTAGGCTACGGAAAAGGATGCGTCGCCATGAGCTGGCAATCCGACTGGTAGTGGCAAGCAGTCGTGGTTGAGCGGAAGCGATCGTGAGTATCAATGTGCTACTTTAATCATTGCTATCGAGGGCTATGGAACCGAGCCAAGAGTGCCTGGATTTAGCATTGACTAGCTTCGCACGCTCCTCCCACTATGGAGATGTTTTTCCCATTTAGTCTGTCAACTCGTTGCTGACCTCACACTCTTGTTCCCCTATCGCTGGGCTGCTGCATTTGTTACTCCGTGGGGGTTGCGGTGCCTCCTCTTGTTTATTGTCTGGTCTCTGTCATCTGGCATTTGCGTTGTTGCTTGCGCTCCTTCGGTGTGTGTTTTCGCTTGAGTTTCTCTTCCTTTTTCTCTATAGGTCATGACTGTTCTTCAAGATCTCTTTGTGTCATCTGAGGTGTGCGCGAGATCCTCAATAGGGCCAAGCGAATTATATTTTTTGTCTCCGCCAGTGCATACTCAGGATTGATATTTTCCGTTGCAATTCCCAGTCCAATGCTGGCATCCCTGCTGCTGTGCGTCGAGGGATGGTGCCTCTGGCCGTCGCGCCCCTCGCCGCTTTTGGCTCTCCCTCCGCCGTCTGGTGCCGTGCGCCGCTCAGCCTCTGGGACCACCTCACGCCGGCACGTGCGTGGAAATCCGTGCCTTTTTCGCGGCGACCGTGGCACCGTACCTGTGCTGCCGCCCCTTCAGCTCCGTACGCCACGCTCGGCTCCGGGGGGGCTCGGCCTTGCCTTTCACACGCGGCCGGCTCGCTTCCACGTCATATCTCGCGCTCCGACGTCACCCAACATGCAACCCCCCCCCTATTTCAACTTTTTCAACGCCTCGTTTTATTTGCTCCCGCTCGAGCTGTACATTTTTCGGCATGGCATTTCTGTCGCCACTAGCTAGAGAACGGGGGCTCAGCAGGGTTCATGTGCGCTCTCTGCACCTTCTTCCGGCTGGCGTTTATCTACAAGTTGCTCGCTAAATTGGTAGAACTGAATCACCGTACAAACGAACAAACAGATTTAGCAAATTATATATTAGCGGAGATAACTACCTAGAGAGGGCAATTGACGACCTCTGTGGCGTAAAAGACCACATTCGGTATGCCACTACCATCTTGAAAGCAAGTGGAATGAATGGCACATTCCAGAAACAATGAGCTGATCCCAGGCCCCATTCTCAAGCTTTTGTCTAGCATTTCATTGGATCATGCAAGTTAAGGTTGTCTCCTTTCTTAATTGGTAATGTAACGATTTATTCGAGGTGATGGACGACTCCGCTGAAGTTCTTTTTGACGCGTGCTCGATAAATCCTTACGCTGAAACGCGTGTTTTTGGCGAGTTTGATGAAGTGAAATTGATGATCGCCGACTTGAAAAGTGTACAATAGCATTTTTTCAAACCATTGAAATGTACAGGTAGATTTCTCGTTTGTTTCTCATGCTGACTTGTTGTCGTTGATTTTTTTTTCAAGAAATCATGTTGTTTTTCATGTAAGTTCTTTTGAAGAGATATTGTTACTGTTCTTGTTACATTGTTATTGCTATTGTTTATGTTTGCTTGACTCTCTACATTCTCCATAGTGTCTTTTTCGGTACCGATTACTGTAGAGTCCTTTTTGATTCTGGAAATGAAAATCTGCTTTTTCTTCGCAATTGCGATTTGCAGTGTAATTAAAGTGGTTCGAAAAAGTTGGCTCCTCATTATCTCGTGGAACAACAAATGGATTAGAAACGCACTCGGAGACTGCACTTTGTGCGCTTAGGTTAGAAGATTCAATATGAATTCGCAGATACCGGCTGACCTGCCAGTTTGAAAGAAAAGTAGGCGAAACTGTTGTGGACGCCCTCAGTAAAGCTTCAACACTGGCCAAGTTTTTGACGAAACGAGACACTGCTGCGGGAAACAGAGACCGAAGAAAAGGATGGAAAAGGAACATGTACGGTTATTCTTTCTTGCAGATAGGCAGTCATGATCGTTGCAAGCGACAGGTTATTAAGTGTTGGGGACACTGTGATCTATTACATGTAGGTATTTGATCTTGTGTTGTACTAGGTCTGCCTGGTTTGACTCGATCTTTTGACCAGGCAGAGGAGTATATAATACGGGTTATTTTCTATGTTGATATACTACTGTCTTCCAATAAATATTCTACTGCTGCCTTATTCTCAAGGAC